CAATGGCCATGTCACACTGTCATGTCACACCACTGTCCACCTTATTCTCCAGCTCTCATATTCTCTCTCTCTTCTCTTCAGTGATATTCCCTGAGCCTCGGAGAGGTTATCTTTCTGTTTCTGAGTCAGGGTCTCACTCTGTGGCCTAGGTTGGCATAGAATTTATAGTAATCCTCCTGCCTCAGCCTTTTTAGTACAAAAAGCTGGATGCCTCCACATCATCTCATTCCTTTTTCCAAATGGAGGCTGTTTTTCTAAGTTCTCGAAGGTCAGGTTTTAATACCACGTTTTTTCAAATAATAGTTATTCAATAAGCGTGTTGATTTTATTAGTCCTGGGAGCTTGTTTTGATTTTATTAAATATATATCTGGGTCTGTTGATGCAAGGGGGGATGGGCTGAAAAGGAAAGTATTAATAAAATTTATAATCTCTTCTGTGTTGGGCCATAGACATTGTAGAAAATGAAACATAAAAATACTACATATCCAAAATGTGAAATAGATATAGAAAAAGAAAGGTTTGATGTGAACCAAGATGCCCTTTTGTTTGTAGAAATAGAAAGCTACATAATAGGATTAGCAAACTAATGAATTCAGTACCTGTCAGTTTGAATTTGCATACTTATATGCTCATAGTGTAATGACTCTTCCATTGTCTCTTAGATACGACTCACATATGCTGTAAACATTTCCTTATGTATTTGGAGACAGTAATTGGTACTTCATAAACTTATAATAAAATTTCCTCTCATGAGTTTAACCTAACATGTGATGTTTCAGGCCAGAACCGAAGCTGCTGCTGTCCACTAGAGCACAAGAAGGGAATTAGATTACAGAATCGTGGGTTTTAGATGATGATGGAATTACAGTCCATTACTACATGGCAACTTTCATATTACCAATTTTGTACAGTCTGTGAAAATAATGGCAGCATGCAAATGATATTGATGACTTTTTAGCAACTCCTGTGAGGTGATTTCACAAATGATTGTGTTGTTTAGGGAAGAAATCCAGATGCAGAGAACTGAAACAGGGACAGTGATTGCTCAGTGAATAAAAGCATCTGCCTGCCTCATGACCTGGGTTTCATCCCTAGGACCCACATAATGGAAGGAGAGAACTGACTTGCAGAAGTTGTCCTCTGACCTCTAAGTGTGGCCCCACAACACACACACACACACACACACCCACCCAACACCCCAACCACACACACACAGAGAGCGAGAG